GTCTGAATCCTCATCTACACCCGTCGCCAAGTCTTTCTACCTTTTTGCATCTATGTTGCGTTCATATCCGCAGTTTTCGTTTGCTCACTGATAAGTCTTTTGATATTACAAATTTATTTCGAGCCATTTTACAATTCGAAATTCAAATCGGTTTGGACAGAAGAAGGACCCAGAGTTCGAGTCCTCCTGTGTTTAAACCATTCTCCTGGGATATGGAAATGATTAGTTTTCTTAAAAATCCTTGATAAATATTTCCAGACATGCCTACTTAAATATTCACTTTGTAGCTTTTCTGACTCTTTTGCGTCATTCCTGTCAGAAGGCTCCCTGCAGACTTAAACCCCTTCTCCCTCATCTGTGGGCGTTGTCCCTTACAAAAGCGGCCTCCTGCTTTTTCTGACCTGGCCAAGTGTACATAATAGTCGAATAAACTAAACATTTTGCACGCCTTTGACATTTCATCTTACCTCTAATAACAGGGCGCTGTTGAGCAAAGATTTTAAAGTGGAAGTGTGGCTACGTGAAGTCTGCGATATTCTTTTCAATGTTCCACAGGTTATTTCAACAAGCGTTCATCATTTCGCGATTTCAAAAGAATTCTCAGTTAAACGTTCATTTTGTATCATAATATTAGGATTTTCTCCAGTTTTCATTTTGGTGTGTTCTTAAAATGCGGTTAAAAACATAAAAGCTTTTAACAAAGACGTTTCAACATCTCCATTGCCGCTTGCAGATGCTCGAAACGAAACTGATAAGTGTATTTATTTTCTCCTATTTTGAAATACTGATATGAAGAACCCACATATTTACTTCTCTTTTTAATGAGTAAGAACAAATAAAATGTACAGGAAAAAAAACAGATCGGAGAGGTAATTAAGCTTTCTTACTATGAACGCATTTAAGTATAGTAAGTGCTGCTTAATGTGAACACGTTTATCCACGGTTATTTTGATAACATTAAACGAAACACAATATCCTTCAAATCAGCAATGGAATTTAACTAGTTTAATATAAATGTACTAAGAAACATATAAATAAGAACTTTTCATTTCTAAAAAAAAATATTAACTGTTCATAATAATGCAATAGTTATTTTAGAACGGCAACGAACGGCCGAGAGATTAAATCACTGAACATTGGTAGTTCGGGCCACGATTCGAATCCCTGTTGACGGGTTGGGTGCATGGGAGCTTTCGTAATTTTTTTCCCCATGTATATGAGGCAGTTCCCTTAGATAGTACCTCCACGCCTATCCCTGCCCTTAGGCAGATTGTCGTCGAATACTTTGTCATAATTAAATAAACCTTTTATGAACGATTCATAACGTTTCTGGAAATAATCTGACCGGTGCTGTAACCCTAATATAACCACTGGAAGAGAACATGCAAATGGAAAATTGTAAATTAGGCAAAAAAGCAAACTTAGTTTGACGCAAAAGTTCTCAGGTTTTTGTTTTTTTTTTTTTTTTTTTTTTTCCCCAAAGGGCGTTAGCCCAAAAGGGTTGTTAATTGCGTTTCGAAAATTTTAAAAGTCCGAATCGCTTTTCAGTGTTGCCACCAAATATTATCGCACTGTATTATATTTAAAGAAATTAAATAATGAAGAATTATAATAAATGCATGTATTTTTCTCGCATTTCTCGATTAAAAAAAGGTACTAGAGCCATCAAATTCCGAATAACGTACGTCTCCACCCGAATATGGGCATCTGAAGCCCTACCTTTGAATTTGGAACTTTGTTTTATGATCTATTTCATATTTTGTAAAACATTTAAAGAGTTTTTGATTAACAAACTCAATGATTTCAAAGTGAGCGAATGGCTAACAGTGTACGGGGGGGGGGGGTTTTTATCTCTAGCACGCGAGACGGTGTATCGGAAATTCTAAAGATATGCTCTTTTAAAATTATTTTGCGATATTGCTGTTGAACTGAAATTTATGATTTAAGTGCGAAGAACATGATATTTAATAAATAAAGGTAACACAAAAAAAAACGTTAAAAAGAGGCCCCTTTAGGCGTAATATAAAATATGAAAGCTTTCAGATTTTTTTCTTACCCCCCTTCCTCAAGAGCAGGACAGAAAAAAATGTGCAGAATGCCCCTTTCCTCGAAGAAATAGAAATTGAGCCTGCCCCATGTATGTAGGAAATATGTTATTCTTAACACCATAGTCTGACTACCCTCGAAATCAATAGAATTATTCAAAAGCTATGCCAAACTAAGGTTGCTTTTTTGCCTAATTTTAAACGGGTGACTAAAATCGAAAACAAGCCGTTCGACGAGTTAATTTCTTGGCTGGGCAACACTCGTCTGACATTTGGCAATTTTTATCAACTATTTTGATTTTATTTGGCGACTCTACTTCAGCTAAAAAAATTATTCTATAATACTCTGTTAATATTAACTAAATTGTTGATTACAATAAGCGAAGTAGTATTTTTCATGTTTTCGTATACATGAGTATAAGAAACAGTATAGAAGTTTCGTATAAGTAACAGGCCTTATTTAAAATACTTTTGAACGAGGTGATTTAAGAATTAAGGTAACCACTTTTTTATATATATATATATATATATATATATATGTCGCCAAATTTATTAACTTGCGCCTGGTAACTAATTTTTTACCAATTCGCCAAACTGCGGCCAATGTCGTTGCGTTAATACGTACTTTAAAAAATCGAACTTTTATGGTATTAGAATCTGTAGTTTTGTTTCTCAAAACTTGTTTACATTTCTGAAATTAAAAATTATAACATAATATTGTAATGTATTTTGCAGTAATTTACAAAACAGACAATCTTCTTAGTAGAACATAAATTTTATTTCTAGTTCTCGGTGATAGACAAATTTTATACAATTCTTAAGTGCAAAATTTCATACTACTCCTAGCTGGTAATCTTCAGAAACTTAATCTTCTTAAACAATATCTCACGTTACTGAGTAACGGTTTAATACAAATATGACGTCGCCACTTCAACATAATTATATTTATTATTAAATAACAATATATACAATATAATAAATAATACAAAAAATTAATCTAATAAACCACTTTTTTTTTTCCAAAATTTTTCTTCCTATTATAATTGCTATCATTATGTTATTTATGTGCAGTTATTTGTATCATGATTACATTGTATGATGGATAGATAGAGAAAAATGAATAGGGGTCGATGAAGAAGATCATTCTTTTAAAAATGTTCGGTAAAATGGTTGAAAATCTCTGGTTTAAAATAGTAATTACCTCTGTTACCAACTGTTTAATCTTCTCCTCTGAGAACGAATGCTTCTTTACGCATTTGCATTGAATTCTAAATTTCGAGAACACAAACAAGATGTGAACCTGAAAGCTTATTAACATTACGCTTGGTAAGTACAGCTAAAATTTAACAGTCCACATCTACTTGCCTGGTATTGGAAACACCAGTTCTTATATGCGTGTTGTATAACGAATAAATTTAACGCCCAGCAAGCAATTTAAAGCAAATTACTTGCCAAAGAGTAATCGGCGGATAGGTAGATGACTCAGGAAAACAAAATGCTTGCTGGAGCGTTGCCAAAATATATTTTAACCATGACATATTATTTTATCGGAAGGTAGGTGAAGAATAATTAGATTGGCAGATGGAATTAAATTGATGATTTTTTCCTTTCAGAGAGCAAATATTCTGCTTGGTTGTACCTTAGGTAAGAAATCCACTCAATAACATGGGCTATTGTGCCTCAAAACTGGGGCAGAAGCTTAATAGTTAGGAAGGCTCGGTGATACCTAATATACACCTGCAAAAATGCTCAGGTGCTGGCTTTGCTTCGACCAGTACCTATACTTCAAAATTAACTTCTGGCTTCATGTAGATACTCAGACGATTTATTTATTTATTTTATTTTTAGCCCAAAGGGGCGTTAGCCCAGAAGTGCCATCAGTCTCGAAACGGCATTTTGCGCTGAATCACTATAAAAGTGTTGCATCACTTTTCAAATTGTTGCCACCAAAATATTATCGCCCTGTATAACATTTAAAGAAATTAAATAATAAAGAATCTGCATGAATGTATGTATGTTTCTCGCACTGTGAAAAAACAAAGGTACCTGAAGAAATAAAATTTTGAATAACGTAGTTTTCCACCCGAATATGGGCACCTGAAAGCCCAAATTTGGAATTTGTTTTACTGGTCTATTTCATATTTTGCAAAATTTTAACAAAATTTTTATTAACAAATCCAAGGATTTCAAAGTGTTGAGTTTGTTAATCAGAAATTCGTTAAAGGCAAAGGTTTTTTCCGTATAGTGTTGAGGAACGGTAACACCGTACGGAAAAAAACATTTCTATCTCCAGTATTTATCTTATTTTAACCTGAAATTTTCACATTGCCACTTTAAAATTATGTTTAATTAAACAATGATTATTTTAATTTATTTTCTTTACTTAACAGTAATTTATTTTCCATTGCGTACTTTTCCTCTTAAAGAAATGTTTTTGAAATAAACCAAGTTAATACACAAATGATGAATAAAAAACCAATTGACTTTTTAAAATGTTTCTGCTCATCATTTTCCAACACTTAGAAAGAAATTTTATTTCAGAATTTATTGTTAGTTCCATGCAGAATGCAGGGTTTAGGGAATATCAAAACTAGAGCTGAAAGAAATCAGTCCAGGCGCTGTGCGTTCCGTTCTATTTAACATTTTTAGTAGTTTGAAGTATAATTACTGATTATTACTGCGTGATATTGTGACCACTTGTACGAATATCTCTGGGGAAAATTTCAAGTTTTGATCTATTTGCTTTGATAAGAACAAATTTTATTAGCCTATAATCGAATTTGTGCATTCAATCTATTACGAACCCGTACGCAAGCAACACTTTTTGGTATCAGAAGTGGGCTTCAATGCCAGTGACAAGAGCGATGGATGAACAATCAAGGCAATTGTTGGCAGCCTTTGCTGCTTTCAAAGAAGAGGTAAAGCTGGCTAAGAACCGTTAAATTTCAAGAAAAGATGGAGGCTGGTCAAGTATCTGTTAAAGAGATAAACGCCGTTCAAGAAAAGGTGAAAGCTCGTCAAGTATCTGTTAAAGAGGAGATGAATGTAGGTCAAGAGCAAATGAAATGAGAGATTACCTGTAAAAGAGAAAACAAATTTGAGGCTATGGAAGGCAGAATTTACGTTGTTGAAAATAACGTTGCACAAGCTGAAGAAAAGTTTCTTCTGTAAAGGAACAAATAGAAGAAATAGTTTCTGCTGTGAAGCAACGAATCGAAGGAAGAGTTTCTGCCGTCCAACAAATTTCTGCTGCGTAAAGAATTTGACACCTAAAAGACGTACATAGAGACAGAAGGAAGCAATTCTGGTGGCTTTAAACTTTTACCCAAGCCTGTTTGTCCCTCTCTGAAGTTATCCACATATGATGGGAAGACTTCTTAGCAAGTATATAAGACACAGTTCTCTATAGTGGCGGAAGAGAATGGATGGGATTCCCAAGCTAAGGCCTGTCATATCGCCGCTTCTCTGAGAACAAATGCAGCGGATATCCTTCAGACTCTTTCCGAAAACCACAGGTCAGATTTCGAAGCTCTATTGGGCGCGTTGGAGCTACGCTTTGGGAAGAAATTCGAAAGTTAAACAGTTAAAAGAAATAGATTCTGAAATTCAAAATCAAATTACGGATGTTAACGAAATCGAAATTATTAAATGTGATGAGTATTATGAAAAATTGATTAATTGTTCACGTAAGCTGAAAGTTGCAATTGCTAAATGTAAACCAAGTACACAAAGAACGCAACAACCTATTAGCTTGTTAAAATTAGAAAAACAATTCATTAAATTAACGTCGTTTAACAGTAAGAAAATTCGATGGCGATCCTGCCGATTAGCAAAGCTTCTGGTATCAGTTTGAATCCCCGATAAACAGAAATGCAGATTTATCTAACGTAGATAAATGTAATTACTTACACCTTACACTTTACTGGAGTAGCCGCAAATGCAATTAAAGGAATTACACTAAAAAAATAAAAATTATGAAGCAGCAAATAGAAATCTTAAAGGAAATATTTGGGCAAAAAACTTTGGTCGTTAATTCTCATTTGAATAAACTGTTGAATCTAACACCTGTTAAGAAATCAACAGACGTCTCTCTGCTAAGAGAGAGTTGATTTCTGTTAGATACTTGTCAAACAGAAGTTCGCAATTTAGAAGCCTTAGGAATAAATTCGGAATTTTATGGTTCTCTATTATAGATCTCCCATATAAATCAAATTAATATCGCAAAATATTGTTCTAGAGATCACTCGGAATAGACGAAGATTGGAAGGTCTCGAAAATAATTAATATTCTAAAAACGAAGTTGAAAGCGGAGTAAAAACCTTATTTTTGACACACTACAAATATTCAAATGAAAGCGAAACAAAATCTCAAATACCATTAGAAAAACTAGTGGTTCGAATGCAACGCATTAGGCAAGGCATTCGCTATGCATCAATGCTATGCAAGACATCCGAATTCATAAATGTAAGCCGACGACAGTTTAATTATTAGCCGCGTCAGCGGAACCGCAGTGTCTGTTCTGCGGGAAAGGAAGTCATTAATCCAAGGATTGCGAAATTTTAAGTGTAGAAAAGAAAACAGAGATTTTGAAAAAGCTAGACAGATGTTTTTTATCTTCGATAAAAAAGCACAGAATTAAAGGCTGCAAACAAAAAGTAAACTGTCGCTTCTATAATAATAAACACTCGAAAGCCATTTGTTATTCATTCCATCCGAAAGAAGATAAATGATAAACTTGAAAAGAAAACGTCGGATTCCAATGTTATTTCCTCTGTTTCGTCATATAATTCCGATGAAAGAAAATCTAGTAAAATATTATTACGAACTGCTTCTGTATTTATTCGGAATAATGATAAATGTGAAAATGTGAGAATTCTTTTTCTTGGCTCAATGAGATCTTTTATAACTAAAGATATACCAATTATCCTATTAAAATGGATCTTCTGATTGTTAGAAAAGAATCACTTTCTGTTTACTCATTTGAAGAAAAATGTGCGTTGGAGAAAACCTTTAATGTTGCTAACGCAGAACTAGAAAATGTTAGCGATCTCTTGAACTTCAAGAAGCCGAAAATATCTCATACTATTATCTCCCCTCCAGATTTGAACTTTGCTAAGGAAAATAGTTTTACACAATTTACAATTAGTTGACTGTTGTATACAAAGTGACAAAATTGATCTTCTCATAGGGGTAGTTTTCTATTATTCTATAACTACAGGTAAATTTAAAAGAATTTCAAGAAATGTAGTAGCCACAGAATTTTCATTTGGGGAAAGTAAATAACGAATTTAGCAAATTATTAACTATGAAAGAAATAGTAAATGAAAACTTGATATCAGATCAATTACAACAGTTCTGGAAGCTTAAAAACTTAGGTTTAGAAAGTGATACTCAAAACGACAAAATTGTTGATTTAGAAATTATGAAATCTTTCAAATCTGATAGCAAGTACAAAAACGGCAGATACCAAATAAGATTACCGTGGAAACCAAATTCAAAACATTTAATGGAAGACATAGCACTTGAAAGATTTAAGAAATTAAGTAACAAATTTAAAAATGATAACTTTTTGTTTGTTCAATATAAAGAGGTTTTAAAGGATTACAAGCTAAAACATATTATTGAACCATTTCAGGAAGCCAATCAAAATGATAAGACCTATTTTGTTTATCTTATAGAGCAGTCATCAGAAATGATAGAGCAACAAACAGGCTGCAAATAGTTTGTGATGCTTCAGCCCACAAAACAAATACGCTTTCTTTAAATGACTGGTTATATACTGGTCCGAACGTATATCCTAATATTTTTGATTTAGTGACAAAGTTCAATAGTCTTTATAGCTAACATTGCACAAGCTTTTTTACAGATAGAGTTAAATGAAGAAGACAGGGACGTTATATGGTTCTTTTGGAAAGATGATCCTGATGAAAGCAGTGAAAATTTGAAAACATTTAGTTTTACAAGTGTTTTGTTCGGAGTAAAATCTAGTCCCTTTCTGCTTCCTGCATCGCTTTAAGAAATCGCATTAAGCATCCTGCATCGCATTAAGCATCGCTTTAAGAAATATTCGGAAATATATCCTGAAACAGTAAAATTCTTTAAATAACTGTCTATATGTTGATGATAACATTGGTGGCCAGCAAAATTTAGAACAAGCCCTGAAAACAAGTTTAGAAAATGTGAACATTTTTAACGAAGCTAGCTTGTCACTAATGGCATACTAATTCAAAAAAACTGAATGACATTTGGCGTCACAAATAATTTTCGATACAAGAATCTCCTGGAAGTGATCAAAGTGTTAGGAATTAACTGGGATACAGATAATGATAATTTTTATTTTGACACTCAACAAATTTCATATCCTCATCAATTAATTCAAAACGTTTTCTATTACAAACGGCAGGGCATATTTTTGATCGTATTGAATTTTATGGCCCTTTCACCATAAGAAAAAAGTGTCTGATTCAGGAAATCTGGTCTGCCAAAATTAATTGGGAAGGTGAACTGCCACCTGATTTTAGTTATAAATCGAAAGCCTGGTACGGAGAAATTGAAGAACTGAACCACCTCAGGACTACCCGTTACTTTTTAGATGGAATATTACATGTAGATTGAAGCAAACAGAACTCCATAGATTTTCTGATGCTAGTCTGAAATATGCGTGGTATGTTTAAGATTATGGATGCGTGGGATATCTAAGAATAGGTTTGAACAATGGAACATTTCAAACAGTTTTTATTGCTTCCAAGAGTAGAGTTGCACCTCTGGAATCACTTACACTTCCTAGGTTGGAGCTCTTAGGCACGCTTTTGTCCGCCAGATTGTGCGATAATCGCAAAATGTTTAAAATACGAAGTAATCCCCTTCCATTGGACTGATTCTCAAATGACTTATTGCTGGATTCGAAGATCTCCCGAAAGATTTAAACCTTTCATCAAGAACAGAACTTATTCAGAAACTGACTGTATAAGGTATTTTTCCCGCTTTCCTAGCGTGCCTTCGTGGTGTAGTGGTTCTGCACGCTGGGCCGGTATTCCAGAGGTCCGTGATTCAATTCCCGGCAAAGCCGTTGCTAATTTTTCATCTCTTCTGCTTCCAAAAATCCTAATGGCTCTATAACTTAAAGCAGTAATTGGCCTTATTACCGTGGGAAAGACAACCCGGCCGACCTCATATCACCAGGAACTACTATTGCTAACTTAAGAAACTGCCAACTTTGGTGGCATGGACCACCCTGGCTTTTACAGTCTTCAGAATGTTGGCCCTCTGGTAATGCGTCGTTGAAGAAAAAAATTTAGAATATAGAAATAAGGTTGCTTCCACTAACAGTATAAATGTATCGTATGAAAGAAGAATGTATTATTTGATATTTTCAAGTACAGTAATGTTATGAAAATACAGGGTGCGGCAGGGAAACTACCTTATTTTAAAAATGAATAACATAAATAGTATAAGCGATATCAGTTTCATTTTTTCCCAAGTTATGGAAAGTTTTTTTTTCGGTTTAAAAATAATATCATTAAGGTGGCCTCCGTTCTGGTCAATGCATTGAGATAGTCGAGATACGCTCGTAAAAGTTTTTTCCACTTTTATCAGCATATCAACGGGTATGTTGTCGATAGCAGCTTGAATATTGTTCTTCAGCTGAGCCAGGGTCTTTGGACGTTAGAGATTTCAGATAGCCCCACAAAAAGAATCGCACGGGGCTAAATAAGGCGAGCTTGCTGGCCACTGACAATCGCCTCGTAAGGAGATAAGGCGTCCAGGGAAATGTTCTCCATAAACTCATGGTCTATTCTGGACAATACATACCGAACAGTCACACGTTCTGGAGGGGCTGCTCATGAAATTCTCGGGAAATCGTGACTCTCCATTATCACATGTTTTGCTCAATGCATGCTGCAACCGGAAAGATGAAAATGAGCCTCATCGCTAAAGAACACAGGGGCATCACGAGTCGTATTGCCAAGAACGGCTTTGCATGCATTTTTTTTTTTTTTTTTTTTTTTTTTTAATTTATTTGTGTGTGAAAGAAAATCGCATTAAGTTTTTGCACTGCCAATTTATATGGATGAAAATGCAGTACGTTGAAAAGTACGACTCCACGTAAAACGCGCGCTCCTCTCTCGTTCACTGCATGATCGCTACTAAATCTACATGACATAAAACTTTAGATACCGCTCTTTTCAATAAGCGCCACCCCACCCTTCTCGGAATAAATGTCGCTAGATGACACGCGTTTCAAATAAGGAAGTTTCTCTGCCGCACCCTGTATTAAGAATAATTAAACGCTTCATTTTAAAACTAGGAAACTTATAAACTTGGCAGATGTTCCCACAGCTGATGAGCTTAAAAATGCAAAAGAATTCTGGATTCGTAGAATTCAAGGAGTAGCATGTAATTCGGAAATTTCGGCATTAGAAACTGGTTAAAGCATATCTAATCATCCTCCCTATATTTCTTTTTCCCTGTTTTTAGACGATAAAGGAATCTTGCGGCTCGAAGGAAGATTACAGTTCTCTGATTTCAGAACCGAAGAAAAACATCCTATCCTCTTGCCTCGAAATAAAAAATTTACGGAAATGATTATTGAAAGAGAATATGTCAAGTTGATGCATAGTGGAGTTACAGTCACTTTGACCACTCTTCAAAAAGAATACTGGCCGACAGCTTGTGAAGAAGATATTTCGAAACTGTCTTATTTGTGCAAAAAAGTGCCAGCAAAACCTGCTCGACAGACAACTGTACAGCTGCCAAAAGACAGAATAGTTGAGACTCCACCATTTCTGTAGACTTTGGTGGTCTGATTTGGGTTAGATCAGCACTCGGATTATGCCAAAACCTTTCAAAAGGTAAACTGACAATTTGTGTATTTTTCAAAAATACTGAAGGATTCCAAATTTCAAGATTTTGGCTTTTACGATCTTCTGCGAAGGATTGTTTAAATTAAATTTTGAAGAGGTGACTATTATTTTGTCATACTATTTTGAATGTGTCATAAATCAAAGACCCTTAACTTACAATGACTTGGAAGAACCACAGCCTCTCACACCAACAACACATTCTCAACTTTGGTCGAAAAAATCTTAATTATCCACTTCATTTTATCCAGATGATGGACTAGAATTCGAATAGAAGTTATCTGATGAATAGATAAGTGTACCAAACCAGACTTTTAGAAGATCTCTGGAAAAGATGCAAGGAACAATATCTACTTGACTTGCGAACGGCCCACCATTGGATACTCCTAACCCGAGTAAAGAATTAAAAGTTGGAGATGCCATTCTTTTGGAAGGGTCTACAAAGTCCAAACTGTTATGGGAGCAGTTATATAGACGAGATCAACATGTTCGTTCTTGCTTAATTAAAACATTCAAAAAAATAATTAAGAGACCCACACAACTCTTATATCCTTTAGAAATTGTGAACTAACTCAAGAACTATTGACTTTTTCCCCAACATTTGATGAGAACTTTTGAAATTATTGATAATTTCTTTTCTTTAATTGATTAATTTGTTTTATTTTATATTTTAATAGATGTTCAAGAATATTTTTTTTAATTTTTAATTGTAAGTATTTTCATTTGGATTTAATTGTTGTTATTTTTAATTGTGTGAACTCTGATGTTCAGGTGGGGAGTGTAGAGAAATGTGATGTCATAAGGCGATAGGAGCGTCCTCACCTGAAGTAAAAAAAAGTTCAGTTAGATGTTAGATGCTAGATGGGAATGGCACATTAAGCCATATCCTTTGATTTGTATAATTTCCCACATGCAGATTAATTGATTAACTGTATATAGTGTAAATAAATACTTAATTTAACCTTGCTTTGAGTCAATCATAGATATAGATATGATATTCTTCATACAAAAACATAGATTTTAGGTATGGCAGATTTTCGACTTAGAATAGCCTTTCATGTTACTCTTTAAACACGCAGTGCATTCTTCTTTAAGAAACCATTTGTGATCGGGGAACAGGTTAATTCATTTTATGTCAATTCCTGGGGGAAAATATGTTTCCGTTTACAAGTATTTTAGATGATGAACTTCGGTTTACAAGTACTAGATGATGAACTAACTATCTTCAGGAATGAATTAAGTTTATGAACCAAAGTTTCATTGTATGTACTCGTATATTTAGTATCATTTACATGCTTACAATAACATTCTTTGGTAATACAGTAGAATTCCAGAAATCCGCAAAGCTTGGGACCAGAGGTTATGCGAATTTTAGGATTTTGAGGATTTCAAGACAGAAAAAAATAAATCATAATATTCAGACTAAAAATGCAAATTAAATAAGGCGTATTAGATACATTTAATTGAATTATTATGTACAGTGTCTCACAAAAGTGATGGGACACTTGTCCTTTACAAAAGGAAACTGTAGTAAAATAAATTAAAAAAACATGTAAAAATTTTTTGGGTGTGTTTCATACTTTAATTTAGTAACAATTATTACATAACATACATTTTCTCAAAATATTAAAATATTAATTTAATAAAAATACAATTGTTTAGAACGGAGCAAAAAAATGGCTCACATAAGTGATGGGACACTTATTTTTCCATCAAATATTTATCCAAAAATTTTACTTTTTAAAAGGTTTTAATATTTTGTTGGATTTCCTTTTACTTTTAAAACATGATTTAATCTTCTTGGGATGGATTCGACTAATTTTTTTATGATTTCTGGAGTGATTTTACCCCATTCTTCTTGAAGCACCGATTTTAATTGTTGTTTTGAAGAAATGGTGTGTTTGCGAATTCTTGATTCCAATTCTTGCCAAATATTCTCTATGGGATTTAAGTCTGGAGATTGTGGTGGTGTTTTTATTATTTCAGGACAGTTATACAGCAGCCAGAGTCTAACGTTCAAAGCAGTGTGCTTTGTGGTCATTGTCCTGGTAGAATTTAAAATCGTTATGAAGGCTTCAATTTTCGTGCTGAAGATTTCAAATTTTGATTTAAAATGTCAATATACTTGTACTGATCCATTATACTGTCAATAAAAACAAGATTACCAACTCCAGCGGACGACATACACCCCCATACCATAACTCCTCCTCCACCATGTTTTTACTGTTGGCACCAAGTTCTGTTTGCGAAATTCTTCCCTGGGTTTTCTCCACACCAAGATTCTACCGTCAGAACCAAATATATTAAATTTACTCTCATCAGCAAATATAACTTCATTCCAGTAATCAGAATTCTTATTTATGTTGGATTTTGCGAAAGCCAGTCTGAGTTTTCTATTCTTTTCACTTACGAAGAATTTTTTCCTGGCTGCTCTACCGTGATATCCAGCAGATCGAATTACTCTTCTAATAGTCTCAGGATTAACAATTACTCCATATAATGCTTGTAAATCAGCAGCAACTTTAGGAGCACTCATTCTTGGATTTTTTTAAATATTTCGAACGATAATTCGCTTTATTCCATTGGATAGCTTTGATGGCCCAGGTCTTCGTTTATCCTGATCATATGATTCTTTTTATATCGTTTAATGATATTGAAAACTGTTGAATGACTCAAGTTAACTGTTTCAGTTTCTTTAATAGATTTTCCACGTTCAATATGCAATTTAAAACTAATTTTTCGAATTTCAGGCAAAGTTTCTTTTCGTTTAGCATTCATGGCTGCACAGAGCTAAAAAACACAAAATTCCAAAACAAAACTGGAGAGAAATACTGCAGACGATTTTATAAATTATTGCCAATCGCTTTTGAGTAAAAATAAAAAACCCCCCAAATTTTTTTTTTTTTTTTTTTTTTTTTATTTTTTTTGTAGTACGTAGTAGTATCTAATGGTGTCCCATCACTTATGTGAGCCATTTTTTGCTCCGTTTTAAACAATTGTATTTTTATTAAATTAATATTTTTAATATTTTGAGAAAATGTATGTTATGTAATAATTGTTACTAAATTTAAGTATGAAACACACCCACAAAAAATTTTACATGTTTTTTTAATTTATTTTATTACAGTTTCCTTTTGTAAAGCACAAGTGTCCCATCACTTTTGTGAGACACTGTACATTAGCGCATAACTTATTATGCATAAATTATTATTACATATATATATTATATTATTGATTGTATTATATATACACAGCATCGAGGTTTCATTTCGCCTATGCAAGATTTCCGGTTTAGAATCACTGTTGCTGTATTTCAAAGCTTTTCTATATTTTTCCGTATATCATACACAATCGTATCGCAATTCCATACGATTCTGACTATAAACGAAGAGTAGCACCTGTCACCATCTTTTGCAGAATTTGAACTTTTTACATTACCGTCAATGCAACGTGTTTACGTTTTTCAACTTTGCAAGCAGTAAAATCATGAGTGCGTTTCTAATCTGTAATTGTATTAAAAAGGGCTAAAATTTAAAATGTTCTTAATTTATCCACAAAATATCCGAATTAAAAAAAGGCAGCACTAAATAATCTCGTGAAATAACAAAGCTCGGAAAATACAACGTGAATCGTGAATTTGAAAAAAGAGTGAATCGTCTGTTTTTCTTACCTCGATGCAGATTAGAGGAGAAAAACTTTTATCATGATGTCAATAATTTGGTATTTCCGTTATGACTCATTATTTTTCGGTAATTATGATGTCATTATTCAATAAGTATTTTTTCTTCGATATTTCGTAGTCATTGTTGCACTTTCTAGAACTAGTAAACTGAATGTTTATATTTTGAGAGGCAACGCGGATTTCAGGAGTTGGCGGAATTTCGGTATTTTTTATTACTTACTTTTTTCTGGTCATTAACTACTAAAGAGTTTTTGCCAATAGGATCGCATTAAAGTGCACTAGGCAAAGATATTTTCAAATAAATGGTACTAGGGAAGTACCAACACCCGTGGGCGAAGAAAATTCAGCTACGTGAGCAGGCATATCTTAATACTTACGAAAATGGGCGTTCATCATAAAAATTGTGCAGTGATAAGCAATGGCATTAAATTGAAGCATGCAGACAGGTGCAGTGAGTTGTATGGCAAATGCAGATGGTGAGTGCAATATAGAGTGCAGGATAAGCAGTAGTGAGACATCATGGAAATAGCGCGAAGACAGTTTAAAGCTGTGAATGGTATAAGAGTTCAAAGTCCTTCAGAAGTATGCAGTAGCTAGATAGGCCGTAAAAAGTTCAAAAGTTCGTAGAATCATACGATAAAGTAAACATTCATACAAAATAATTTTAAAAAATGAAATAGTAACATAAAAATCTTGAATAAAAAAAGTTTCTTGATTAACATAAGTATAAATGCAACACAAATAAAGGATAGAGTCCAATTTCAGAGTTCAAGTAAATTTTAAAATTAAAATTTACAAGTGACCACCATGGCGATTTATGAATTGGTCTTGGGCGTTTTGACAGTGTATTCAATGGTTGGATCATAATCCAACATTTGTTTAATTGCGTTATACTGACTATGCTTCTCTTCTCGAAGAGTTGTGAGCTGTCATGAGTAAAAGTTGTGCACAGATGGGATATCCAGGTTGTATGAATTATAGAGTTTCTCACGTACCAAGGTGCATTCACAATGCTACGTAGAATTTTATTTTGAAATAGATCCAGTTTTGCGCTCAGTTTTATTGGCGATGCCCAGGCAGGCACTGCATGCATGATCGGTCGAATTAGAGATATGTAAGCATTTTCTTTATTTTTAGACTGAGCTTTGATATTTTGCCGATAATAAGATAAATTGCCATGTAGGCTGCATTTGCTTTGTTTAAGATATAAGAAATATGATCTTTGAAGTTGAGAGACTTATCTAAGTAA